CTTTTTTCCATATATAGTAAGGACCTCTGGAATCCAGTGGTTTGCACACACTGGGCTGGTCAGTGGGGTGATCAGGATGTCATAAACCAACACAGGAGGATGTTTTCCATGGAACAGCAGGGCAATTAGCCTCCACTAGAAAGGGATACAGGCAGGTGAAATTTCTATTTCTACTGGGTAATAGGGAACACAAATGGTTATTGTTCAACTCATGTACGTTATATTCACCATTATCTTTTAAGATGCATGCAAATATATTAAAATAACATCTAGGATTTCTCATTTGTTATAGTCATACAAGTGAATAAAACAAATATTGAAATACCAACAAAGTCCCCCAGCAGAACCACAGTCCTAGCATTTCATTTTCTTCTACTCTTTTTCCTACCTATGTCTACATTCATAAACATGGAATTTTAATACATGTATTTGTCTTATGGTTTTTATTTTCCATTGTACCTAGGCATTTCCTGGCGTCATTTAAACACTCTTTGAAGACACTGTTTTCATTGTACACATATTTAATTATTGCACCATGATTTAATTATTTGCTTCATTTGGGATCATTTGGGATATTTCTAGTTTGTTTGTTTGTTTGTTTGTTTGCTATTATTGACAACTTATAAATAAATGTGATTTCCTTAAGGGAAGTCAGCTCCAAAGAACTTACTCTATTTAGAATATAAACGTTTAAAAAATTCTTACTTAAAATTTGTGGCTAAACTGCCTTCCAGAATAGTTGTACCCAGTTATATTCCCACTAGCAGTACATAACAATTCTCAATTCATAATGTTTTCAAAAAATTTATGGGCAACTCAAATGGTGAACATGATGGGAGAGCAATTACCGCCTGAATCTGGCCTAGCCTGAAAAAAGGAAAAGCTTCTTTTTGCTACTTCCCTAAGAAGAAAACTCAATTTGCAGCCTTCTGTGGGGAAAAAAAAGAAACAAAAAACAACTTAGCTCGCTATCTCAAACTTAAAAGGAATCAAGTACCAACTTTATTATAAGCTATTATTGAGCTTCCCCAGGAGAACAGCAAATGTTCTAGTATCTTCAACAGCCCACATTCACAAAGAAAATACAGGCTATTCACCACTACATGTACTGATACAAAATGTATTAGCAGCATCAATAACAATATATCTTGGTGGAACACCAGTCCCAACCCATGAAAATGTGGTTCCTTTCAGAATGATAAATAAAATTTCAAGCTCCAGAATCAAGTATGTGTGTTTCCCAAAATTAAAAGCATATATATGTTGCTTGACACAAACACTAATCTAATACAATCCCACTTAATTCCAGTTTGTGACCCAACTCTAAAAATGCAGCCAGTAGGCTAAGCACTCAGGTTTTCTCACATGCATGCTTCAAAGAGTACCTACCAAGTCAGGCTGCTTTAAAACACCAGATTCAACCTCAACAGTATCTTATCCCTCAACAAAATCCTATATAATTCAATTTCAGTTTGGTGAATACTTCTCCTTTTATGTTAACTGACATTATCAAGAAGATGGATTTATGACAAGCAAGCCACAGTGCATTTATTGTAGCAGGAGAAAAAATAATGACACTTAATAATGCCCTATAATTAATAAAGGAAAAACTGTGACTGTCACTTGCCCAGACACATTAAATCTCTCGAGATTACATTAAATCTCTTGAGATGGGAGATGATCAGGGAGGACTTTAAACACAAACTTGAGTATCCTTATTTAGAGTAGGGAGATTTGCATACATCACCAGGGGATTAATATCCCAAATACATAAAGAACACATAAAACTCAACAACGAAAGTCGAACAATCCAATTAAAAAATGACAAAGGGCCTTCCCAGTGGCGCAGCAGGTTGAGCGCAGCGCTATGAAGCTGTCCTCAGCCTCTGCAGCGCCGGTTCGATCCCAGCTGGCCAGCGAGAATCCCATATGGCACAGCAGACCTCTCCTGTCATGCCCACTGCTCTCCTCGGCAGTGTATTTCATCAGTCTGCCTGCTCTGTTCCCCGCTCTGTCTCTGGTGAATCCTCTCACCCTCCTGCGCATCTGGCCTGTACCCCAGCTCTTGTATCTATAAAAAAAATCTTTAAAAAAAATTAAAAATAAATAAAAAAATGACAGAGGCTTTGAATAGACTGTTCTCCAGAGAAGGTACACAGATGGTGATAAGCAAATGAAAATACATTTATCACCCCCAACTATTAGGGAAATGCAAATCAAGAAAAGCTATCACCTGACACCTACGAGGATGGCTATTATCCAAAAGACAAGGAATGACAAGTACTGAGAGGATGTGGAGGAAAGGGAACCTTTGTCACTGTTGGTGGGAATGTAAATTGGTGCCACCATTATGGAAAACAGTATGAAGTTCCTCAAAATATTAAAGCTAGAAATTCCATACAGTCTAAATATCCTGCTTCTGGGTATTTCCTCAAAGAATATAAAAGCACTAATTCAAAGAGCTATGTGCACCTTCATTTTCACTGCAGCCAAGAACTGGAAACAACCTAAGTGCCCAAAGACAGATGGTTGGCTACAGAGGATGTGGTATATATATGCAATGGAATACTACTCAACTATAAAAAATGATGAAATCCTGCCATTTTCAACAACATGGATGGACCTAAAGGGTATAAGTCAAGTGCAAAAGACAAATGTATGATTTCCCTCAGGAAATCACATGGCGCGCAGACCTCTCCTGCCGCCCGCTGCTCCCCTCAGCAGTGTACTTCGGTCCTTCTGCCTGCTCTGCTCCCCGCTCTGGCTCTGGCGAATCCTCTCACCCTCCCGCGCTTCTGACTGCACCCAGTGCTTGTATAAATAAATAAATCTTAAAAAAAAAAAAGAGGTTACAACTCACAGCTCACATCTGCAGAGGCTGCGGACAGCTTCACAGTGCGGTGTTCAACAGCCTGCACCACCAGGGAGGCCCTTCTCAGGTTATTTTTTTTTTAAGATTTTCATTTATTTATTTATACAAGCACTGGGTACAGTCAGAAGTGGGGGAGGGTGAGAAAATTCACCAGAGCCAGAGCAGGGAGCAGAACAGGCAGACTGACAAAATACACTGCTGAAGGAAGCAGTAGGAGAGACAGGAGAGGTCTGCGCACCATGTGGGACCCTCGCTCAGCAGCCGGGGATCAAACTGGTGCTGCAGAGGCTGCAGGCAGCTTTGCAACCCAGCGCTCAAACGCTGCACCACTGGGGAGGCCCAGAGTTGTAACCTCTTTATGTCATTGCTCCTTCTCCAATAACTCATCGGATGATGACCTCAGACTGATGCAGAAATGGAAACAAAATCCTAGGACAGTAACATGGACGATACTTAGTGTGATCCACGGGCTAATATCCATTCCTCAAGGTCCACAGGAAGTTTTTCCTGGACGAACATCAACCAGACACAGAATTTTCAATGACCCTTCAATCTTCATCAAGGGACCGATCAGGAGACGGAAGGCCCACAGGTTAAGACCACACTGACAACAATGGAAAGCTGTAAATGAAGCTACCATATGATCCAGTGATTCCACTCCTAGGAAATCTACCACAGGATGCAAAAACACTGATTCAAAAGGAAACCTGCCCTCCTATGTTTACTGCAGCACTGTTTACAATAGCTAAGATATGGAGACAACCTAAATGCCCCAAAACAGATCAGTGGATCAAGAAGATGTGGAATATATACACAATGGAATACTACTCAGCAATCAAAAAAGATAAACTCATGCCATTTGCAGCAAATGGATGGAGCGAGAAGGGATTATGCTATGCAAAATAAGTCAGAAGGAAAAAGATAAATATTGGATGGCTGAACTTATATTCATAATATAGACAACTCAAACAAAGGGTCAGAAAAAAAGACAAAACTTACAGGCTGACCATAGATTGAGGCATCCAGAGAGGGGGAGGAGGCAGGAGAGAGGTCAAAACAGGGGAGGGAAGGGCACAAGGGACAGTGGTGACAGACTGCAGGTGTGATGGGGGTGGGAGATGTAAGGGAATACCCCGAAGGGAGAAATCAAATACTGTACAAAAATGATAATAAATAATAAATAATTATAAGTAAATAATACTGTACAAAAATAATAATAAAAGACCATCGTGACATACAAAAGACTTAAAACTAGATCAGACACCCCAGCATTGCTTTTCAGTTGCTGGAAGTCTGGGTCATCTGGGGGAGGGGCCAGGACAGCAGCTATTTGGCCAGCATTGGAAGAATTTCTGTACTATTATCAATTAATTAATTTTAATTTTATAAATTAATTTTATTGAATTAATTCATTCATTGATTTTATTATTAATAAAAGGTAAATACCAAATATGGGTTAAGGGTACTAGAATAGAAGTAAGCAAACTTTTTCAGTAACAGCACAAGATGGTCAATATTTTAGGCTTTGCAGGTCATAAGGTTCAGGTTACAATTACTTAATTCTACCATCAGAGTAAAAAGCAATCCAACACAGGGCCTCCCTGGTGGCGCAGGCGGTTGAGCGCCGCACTGTGAAGCTGTCCGCAGCCTCTGCAGCGCGGGTTCGATCCCGCCTGCTGGTGAGAATCCCACATAGCGAAGCAGACCTCTCCTGCCGCACCTGCTATTCCCCTCAGCAGTGTATTTCATCAGTCTGCCTGTTCTGTTCCCTGCTCTGTCGCCAGTGAATCCTCTCATCCTCCCACGCCTCTGGCCTGTACCCTAGTTCTTGTACAAAATAAATAAATCTTAAAAAAAAAAAAGCAATACAACACAATCCATAAATGAAAAGGTGCACCATTGGATCCCAAAGTATACCTGTCTACAAAAAACAGGTGGCAGGACAGATAGGGTGGCTGTACTTGGCCCAACAGAGCAATCAAATCTTTAACCTCAACCTCATTAGCGGTCTTTCCAACTGCTTTCATCAGTCACTGGTGATTCTCAGATGCACATATGATCTCTACACACCCCAAGAGACTGAGTTCAACTCAGCAGTCAGCCTCCCTCCCCCCATGAAGATACTCACCCAGAAAAATCTGTAGTGAGAATTCCATAGTGGAAGATGTATATCCGACTGATGTGGCACATCGTAAGGTATCCTATTGCTACAAAAAAGGAGTATCTGAAACCACAAAGACAGAAGATCAGATTATTATGCATGACAATAATGGTCTCAAGCAATTTTCTCTTCCTCACCCTCACCCCCATAGACAATTGGCCACAAAGTCCTCTAAGGTCTAACCGCACCCCAGTCCATCCTGTTCTCACCTTCCCTCACACTGCTCTGAATTCTTGCCTTTTCTCACCTGGTACCCCAAAGTGGGTCTCGACCTTGACAGCAGAATGGAATTACCTGGGAGTTTCACACTCCAGGTATCTGCGTCCCACCTTCAGATATGCTGGTTTAACTGGTAGATGGCGCACCGGGCAGCAAATTCCAAATTGCAGTCAGAGCTGGGAGCCACTGACCTATAAGGTCTTGCCTCAGATTCTCCTCTTCTCAAGCCATTATGTTTAAATACTGAGTTTTGTAAAATGCAAATAATCACCATATTGCTGGCCATTCCCTTCTTTGAAATACTTTGTTCTCTTGGCTTCCATTTGTTTTGTCTTCTTCCCACCTCTCTGGCTAATTCTTCCAAGGCTCTTGCTCAACTTCTCTTTCCCTACCTGGTCCTTAGGTTATTTGCCTTTCTGGTGCTCTGGTCAGGATGCTTCCTGTCCAACTTGGGGCTTCAACTCCCACCTCCCAGCCTCCTGACCATTCATCAATACTTAAGCCAGCAAAATACACACACACACACACACACACACACCATTCAGAGCATTCACTGATGTGTAATTATAAAGATACATTGTGATGGGCCTCCCTGATGGCACAGCGGTAGAGCGCTGGGCTGCGAATCTGCCCACAGCCTCTGCAGTGCTGGTTCGATCCCCAGCCACTGGCGAGGGTCCCACATGGCACCCAGACCTCTCCTGCCGCCCGCTGCTCCCCTCAGCAGTGTACTTTGGTCCTTCTGCCTGCTCTGCTCTCCCCTCTGGCTCTGGTGAATTCTCTTACCCTCCTGCGCTTCTGACTGTACTCAGTGCTTGTATAAATAAATAAATAAATCTTTTTTAAAAAAGATACATTGTGATGATCTCATTAACTACTACTTCCCCTACTAGACTGGAGCTCCAGAAATGCAAGGATGGTCATGTGTGTCAACTAAATAGATGTTACTTATCTTAAAAGTCTCCAATTGCTCCCACTATCTAGAAATGATTGAAATTCACATTCATGAAGACTAGATTAACTTAAGAACTAAGAAGGCAGAGATAATAAAAATTCATTTGGCAGCAAGGGAGAACTGGATGATGAGCTTAAAGAAGTTCTGGAACTAAAGCATCATGTAACTTTACATTCGCTTTACCATTCTTTGCAAACAAATATGATACTAAACCAAAAAAGATTCTTCCAGAATTTGGGTTCATCCTTAACCCTTTCCAAATCAAGAAGATGGTAAGCAAAGCAAAGACACCAACTCCTTAACAGCCAAATCAGAAGGAGAATGGAGCTGGGCCTTTTGCTTCCAGTACCTGTCCCCTGTCTCCAACCAGGAGGGTCAAGGCAGAAGCACAAAATCAACTCAAAAGACAGATTGTTCCACGGCCCTTTCAAAAACAGCCCTTCCTGCTACTTACTCTTTCTCCTCAACAAGAGCTAGATTCACAAAAGCCAGTCCAATTTATAACAGTAAGGCAATGTGTTCGTGCCCTGGACAAGTCTAAAAAATGTCAGGAATCCAGGAGTGGTAGAGTGAGCAAGCATTCTGGAGACAGACCAACAACCCAAGTTCAAATCCTAGTAATGACCAAAGTAATCTATGGTGGGAAACATCTAGATCTGTGGCTCTTTTAAAAAGGAGGGGTGTGGCAGAGATTAGGGCAAGAATGATGCTAATGTTCCCGTGTTGACACAGGTTGTGGGAACTTGGGTGTGTTTACTTGGTGAAAATTCACTGAATCTTTACCTCTTTGAACTTTGATTTCCTCATCGCAGAAAAAACAAAAAAAAAACTATATCCCATAGAATTGTCCTAGAAAGAATATACTTGCAAGTGAAAGAGTTGTATCTGCAATGCTAAGAAATAATTTATGTATTAAAAATAATGGAATATATTAAAGAGCGCTTAGCCTAGGACTTGCCACAATGTAGAAATTCTAAAACCAGTCACCACAAACCCAATCTCTCCTTCTGTCCCAGGAGATACAAACTATATTTTGCCCCAATTGATTCCCATATGATCATGAATGTCTGTGACAACACAGTGGCTTGGGAAGACATGATTTGTCAAGAACTCTCTAGATGAATCTTGAATAACAACCACCAATCCAGCAGCAGGTTAGTTCTACATGGCAGTAAATACTGATCTCTCCTCTTCTCACGTTTTCATAACAGGCTCAGGACAGGGGAGGAGAGAGTAATTCACAAAGAATTCACCAAGAACCATGAAACTGTGGCTTTGAAGAGAACCCCTACCTTGCAGAAGTGAGAAATCTGATATCCAGAGATCAGTGGGTGATTTGTCCAAACTCCATCCCGGAAGGAGCCAGGTTCCCTAACTCTCATATAAGCTGCATCAATAGGAGCTATTTCCACCCACCAGGAACTGTGAACCATTCCAGTCTTCTGCAGAATTGGCGGCCACGCAGCCAAGAAAGAGGGAAGAACTTCTGGCATCTTTTTTTGGTCTCATGACAGAGCTCTCTGCTACCACAATATTATTGCGGTGAAACAGTCACAGCCTGTCTGTAAACGGCTCGGCTCTGCCAGAACTGGAGCATTCCATTCCTGGCCAGAAACTAAGAGAGAGCCTGGGCCAGGCACCAAGTAAGTGTGCATGTAAGTTCTTGACCCCCTGAAAAATGGACCGCACCCCATCAGCCACCATGGGGTTAGCTGATAAATGACAATGTATAATGAACTTGGAAATGTGCTGGAGAAGAGCTGTGGCAACATTTTTATTAATCATGTGATGGCATCCAAAATCAAATTTAGGAAAAGCCAGGCATGTCCACCCCTCACTAAAAAAAAAAGCATGTTGTCATAATAATAAGTTTTTCCAAAAACCATTCTTTCCAAGTTAGAAATACGGATTTCCCATTTCCCTTCTGAAGGGAGAACATGATCTCCTTCAAGGAGGGCACTTAGAAGAGAGGTGATGTGAGTTCAAATTTTCAGAGCCCAGCAAAAATAATTTTCCCTTGAAAACCAGAAACTTATTTTAAGGAATTACAAGATGATCCACTGAAAAGTGCATTTTCAGTGGTTTTTAAAAAGGGAACTATTGTGCTAATAATCTAATCAAAAAGCTTTCTGAAGCCGAAATAAGACATGTATTTTTCCAGAGAAGTCATCAGAAGTCATAAAAGCATCATGTCTTTCCAAAGACATTCAGTGATTTGTTCCATAAATATTTATTGAGACTTTACTTGTGCCAGGTATTGTTCTAAGCTCTAAGGATACAATAGTCAACAAAAGAGAAAAGGCTTTGTTTTCATAGGACTTACATTCCAGTGTTACTGAAAGACAGAATTAATACTGAAGTTTTTGAAAGAACATGAGAAACAGACAATGCAAAAACAGATACCCGAGGTATCATTACTGATCATCCAAGCATATAGCCTCCAAGACAGAATGAAATTACTTCTATACTCTGCAGTCAAAATATCAGAGTAAGCATATTTTTTCTTGAACAGCTTTATTATACATATTTAAAATACACTAAGTTTGGACATACGTACCCATCCAGAAAATCAGAGCCAAATTCAAGATCACAGACATAGCCATCACCCCACCCAAGTTTGCTCATGCCTCTTTATGATCCCCTTCATATCTCTCTGCATCAACTCACCCCAGGTAATCTCTGATCTGGTCCATGACTACAGATTAGTTTGCATGTTTGGGAACAGAACTTGTGTGGCTTCCTTCACTCAACATACTTACTCTGAGATTCATCATCTCACTGTGTGTATCAACTGTTCATTCCTTTTCATTGCTAAGTAGTATTTCACTCTAATGAGCATTTGGCAGAGAGAGCTGCCAATTCCGACACTTTTTCAGTGGAGGCCCAATTTGCAACCCACCATTTTCATAAGGCCTTCTCTTTAGACTCACAGCCTGTAAGGCTCTCCCCAGCACAACTTTTGATAGCCTAGAGAGCTTAGGGTAGGCCACTTGTGGCAAATGGAAAAGGTACCCTTTTACCCTGGAAATACATTTCGAAGATCGTGAAAAATCTCATCTTGTCTTGTTCATCTTGGGGGTCTTACCTATGAATAGTGGATACACTTGCGGTGACCAGGACTCCGTAGCACATCAACACCAGCACAAAGAGATGTATGGAGTACCTTTAAGACAGCACAGGGGAAGGAGCAAACTGAGCATATTTCAAATTAACATACCTATTGGCCACCCACTCCAGTATTCCACCTTCACCCCCTCCAAAAAGCAAGTGATTCATTAGCTTAAGTTTAAATAGGAGGAAAAAAAAAATCAAGTATGTTTGTTCTGTGTAATTAAGATCCTATATCCTGATATGATACTAGGAAGTCCTGATGCGGTCTGCCAATTGCAGTGCTGGTAATGTCAGGAATCTCACACTTGAGATTGAATGGAATGCTCACACTTTTTTCCACAATTGAGAGTCTAGAAGAAACGCGTTCTTTCATCAGAACTTTTTTTTTCTTTTTTTAAATTTTAAAGTAACAGAACCAAATTGAGCTTTCCAGACACCAAGACATCTACTCAGCAGCTAATTCAAAATACCTATCATCCCTTCTCAAATTTCTGTTGAACCAGGTAAAGCAGTGTGCTGAGTACCCTGAGCAAATCCACAAACACTCCAACATTCAAGAAAGGTTGGTTCCTAAAACTTCTTCCCCAAGAAGTGCCTCTCCCAGCATGTTTGCCCAACTTATCTAGGACAGTTTAATCTACAAGCTTTCTCTGTTAGAGAATGACTCAAATGTGCTAAGACCTACACTAAAGTGATTATTCTACTCTAAGTGCAGGACTAAGACTCATGTCTAGCAAGAATTGCTAACGCAAGAACACCAATTCAGTGCAAGAAAAAAGCCAGTATCTACAACAGTTAGGAAAGGTTCCTCCTTGAGAAAATTAACCTTCGAACATTCCATTTATATAACTCAGGCAGAGATAAGTAGGTGGAGATCGGTAGGCATCTAATTTTAAACATTAAGTCACCACATTGACTTCTAAAGGAGTCAGGTTACCGATTTCTGGTTCTAACAGTAAATGGAGCTTCCTGTGACGTTCCCATTATTTTGCAATAGTAGAAGATACCATGCATAAGCTTTCCTTCATGCCTGGAAAACGCCAAAAATATTGCCAGAACATACTCGAATGACAAATCTTAGAAATGATGAGGCTTGTACTCACCAGCCAAAACAAAAGATGACAAAGTAGATGCCAAAAATGGTAGCAAAAGCATGGCGAACATCAGGACTGGTTTTAGCAGGGTTTAAGTAAAGGCGAAACCAGAACGCAGCAAACAGAGCAAACAGCTGGCATGCCACAAAATTCACCTATGGGGGAAAAAGAAAAGAAAACTTTTACTGCTTTGCCTGTGTGTGAATGTTCTCTACTATCTTCAGTTTCCATATGCAGGTGCATCTCAAACTTGGATTTGGTTTTTTCTCAGTTGAGTGCTTGGAAGTGATATGAAAAGAGCCGTAACTTCACCTGGTACAGCAATGAGAAACCCAACAGTTTCTATTCCGACCCTTAAAAACTAGCCAAGTTTGCTTTCCAACCTTCAAATGAGAGACTCTATTTTTTTTTTTAAAGATTTATTTATTTATGCATGCAAGAACTGGGGTGTAGGCCAAAGGAGCGGGGGTAGGGAAAGTGGGGGGGGTGAGAGGATTCACCAAAGATAGAGTGGGGAGCAAAGCAGGCAGACTGACTGAAATACACTGCTGAGGGGAGCAGCGGGCGAGACAGGAGAGGTCTGCTGAGCCATGTGCGTTAGCTTCCTGGCCAGGGATAGAACCTGTGCTGCAGTGGCTGCGGATAGCTTCACAGGCAGTGTCTTAACCCCTTGAGTCATCAGGGAGGCCCCAAATGGGAGACTTTTAATGTAAAGGACCAGAAATAACTGCATGGTCAGTTTATTGGGCCTCCTTCCACCACCCAGTACAATCACAAGATAAAGATGATGTTTTTTTAAGAGACACAAATGCACCAAATCCAGTTCTGCAAAGTTGAGTTCCCTGTTTGCTAGCAAGAAATCAAATGCCTCTCCAAAGTAATCATCAGATGTGCTCACTCTAATTTTCTCATTTTAAATTAACCCCACATCAGCAAGAGCAGCGCTCAAATCCAAGGTGTGACTCTAATAATCCACAAAAATGAAACCACCACCATTAAACTTTCAAATATTGCCAAAAAACAGCAAACATTCTTATAAATTCTTGGGGATCATTTTCTCAAGAATATTTTGCCTGAAAGAAACATAAAAGTAATCCCTGACACTCACAGAGATCAGCTAATTTAAACAAAACCAAAATATAGTAAGTGGTTTCAAGATTAGTAACATTGAAAAGCAATTTAAACTGAGTGTTCAGAATGAAAACTTCAACATAAACTCACCTTTAGAAGGCAGCTGACTACAAAGGGATCAAGGCTATAAATATTGGAATAAACCCTCAACTTCAGCCTCAGCTTCTGCAGAGTTATGTTACAAAAACCTACGGTTAGTGACATTTCATTAGGGCTGTGCTGAAGAGGAGAGCTGGAGGGGGCAGCCCAGCTCCACTGGGCTCATTTTATTTTCCCCGTAAAAGCTAAGATTACTTTGGACCACTAATAATTTATAGGTTCAGGGAATTTATTTTTTAACTGTGCTGAGTTTCCTTCTGTTTGGAGATCTTTCCAAAGCCTATTCCCAAAATGGTCATCCTAAAACACAAAAGAAAGTGTACTGGGATCCTATCCCGCATAGGTGCTCCTACCTTTTTATCGTCTTAATGCACAACCAGCAGCTACACATGCAGACACATGAACAAAATAAAGAGCAAACTAACCATTTTATTTTATTTTATTTTTATATTCCCCATACCATTGCAACCCCCTTATTTTGACCCCAAGCCCTCCTTTTCCCCCACCCCATACTGTGTCTCTGGTTCATAGTTGTTTATTGATTTTGATTTTTTCTTTCTTATAGTTATTCTTTTTCCTGGTCCCTTATTTAGGTTTTCTAGATTCCTGCTATGAGTGAGACCATCTGGTATTTTTCTTTTTCTTTCTGGCTTATTTAGCTGAGCATGATCCCTTCCAGCTCCATCCATGTTGCTGCAAATGGCATGTGTTTATCTTTTTTGAATGCTGAGTAATATTCCATGGTGTATATGGACCACATCTTCTTGATCCAGTCATCTATTTTTGGACATTTGGGCTGTTTCCAAAGCTTAGCTATTGTAAACAGCGCTGCTATAAACATAGGGGTGCAGGTGCTCTTTGGAATTGATGTTTCTGTGTCCTTTGGGTAAATACCTAGGAGTAGAATTGCTGGATCATATGGAAGCTCTATGTTTAGTAGGTTGAGGAATCTCCACGCAGCTTTCTATAGTTAACCATCTTTTTTAAAATAAAAATTTATTTATTTCTGCATACAAGAGCTGGGTTGTAGGCCAAAGGAGTGGGGTGGAGCGGGGTGAGAGGATTCACCAGAGACAGAGCAGGGAACAGAACAGGCAGACTGACTGAAATACACTGCTGAGGGGAGCAGCGGGTGAGACAGGAGAGGTCTGCCACGCCATGTGGGTAGTTACCTAGTGCGAGATTGAACTCGTGCTGCAGAGGCTGCAGACAGCTTCATAGGTTGCATCTTAACCCCTTGCGCCACCAAGGAGGACTGAAAAGTAACCATCTTAAGCAAAGTTCAAAATGTGAAGGAACTAGTAACTGGAAAGGAAAAAGTAAGGCTCATCTGTAGGTGACCAATCACACATTCTCTCATTCTCTCGGCCCAGGAACTAGGACACAGCACAGTGGAAGGTATGGACACAGGAGATTGACCAGAGGGAGATCTGCCCCATCCTTTCTGATGGAGCCAAATTTATTGGGTACCCCCTGCTCCTTAAACCCCCAACCCCCCTGCATATGAGGAATGATTCTGAAGATACAGCTGTGCTCTCTGGACCATTACCCGGAAACCTTTTAGAAAAGCAAAATCTCAGGTCCCATCCACAAGTCTGATATGAGACATCCCCAGGGTGGACCCCGCAAGGCTGTGGTTTACCAGCCTCCCTCCCCAAGTTTGAGGACCACTAGGATGGAGATAAAGGCAGGTAGGACCCCCTGCCTTCAGGAGCTTATCTAACCTGGGAGAAACATAAACACCCTACAAGGAATTGTCAAGTAAGATTCACTTATTACAGTACATGCCCTTTGGAGCCAAATGACAAGAAATTTCATTTGTCAAGTGGGATGAGGCTCAGGTGGACAATCGAGAAAAGAGAAGGAAAGATAAAAATTGAGGGACATTAAGAACATCCCAAAGTACTGCTGCGTGGGTGCCATTCCGATATAATTGGCCTGCTGTCAAGACTGCAGTGTTGGAATCAGGTGATTCTAATTTGCAGACAAGCGAGAACTAACTTAGAAAAGTACAGAGAGAGAGACCTACACAGGCACCCACGACCAACTGGATCACCAGCCCCAAGTCCACTGGGCTGGGCTGGTCCTCATCAAGATGCCCCCAAATCTACCTTCCGGGAAGAGGGCCACGCCTTGGGGAAACCACATCTGATCTTTCTAGCCCAGGGAATGAAAGGAGAGGGGAGGGAACTCTCACTCAGCCATTGAAGTAATTGGCCACTTTTGACCATAATATAAAGAGTAGCTGAATGAATGTCCCACTTCTGACACAGAAATTTCAGCTGGGTGAGTAATTCCGTAAATATTTACTTGTTGATTCCACAGGCCAGATATTGGGGACAGAGAGCAAGACACTGACATACACTCAGGTTGAGACTAAATGTGATCAGGATAGCAACTCCCCACTATTTTTTGCCAAATACATCTTTGCAAGAAATGGTTTCTGGGCCTCCCTGGTGGCACAGCGGGTTGAGCGCAGCACTGTGAAGCTGTCCACAGCCTCTGCAGCGTGGGTTCGATTCTCAGCCAGCCAGGGAGATACCCACATGGCGCAGCAGACCTCTCCTGTCTTGCCCGCTGCTCCCCTCAGCAGTGCTTTCAGTCCGTCTGCCTGTTCTGCTCCCCACTCTGTCTCTGGTGAATCCTCTCACCTTCCCATGCCTCTGGCCTGTGCCCCAGCTTTTGTATAAATAAAATAAATCTTCAAGGAAAAAAAAAAAAAGAACTGGTTTCTGTGTCTTCTCTGGCCCTACGAGTCTCTGATTCTACATCTAACCAGATTCCTTTCCCTTATCTGCTAATAGTAAATGCTGAAAATCAGACTTTGTAAGGAATTAAGTTTCCCTGTGCACACAAACACAACCCACTCCACCACCTCTTCCCAGGAGTGAGTCATGATGGTGCACTGTATGTTCCATGAAAAACTGTTCCAAGGAAAAAGTGGTAACCAAAAAAAACAACAAAAAACACAGTGCCTCTTAGGCCCAGAGAGTTCCAGCACAATTGCTCTTCAATTACCAGATGTACAATTTAAAAGGTACTGGCAGGACCACAATGAAACACCACTTCATACCCATTAGGATCGCTATTACAAATAAAAAAAAAACACACACACACAAAATAATAAGTGTTGGCAAGGAGGTGGAGAAATTAGAAGCTTGCATACTGTTGGTGGGAATAGCAAATGGTGGCGCCAGTAGGCAAACAGTTCCACAGTCCTCAAGAAAATTACAATGCAATTGCTAAAGTTCAATTTTGCAAGATGAAAACTGTTCTAGACAGTGGGATTGGTTGCACAATGAATGAGAATGTACTTAGTAGCTGAACTGGATGCTTGCATGTGGCTAAACAGTAAGTTTTATGATATACAGATTTTTACCACATTTTTAAAAAGGCATAGGATAGAGGATGATACAAATTTCCTTGTCCTTGCTAACTCACATCAACACTAGTAGCTGGTAGGAATTATGATCATCTCTCTGTCCATGAGCAGTGAGCTGCCATGACAACAAATCATACAGGAAGAGGATTAGATCTTTGCACCTTTCTTCTAAAGGGCCAACAAAACCAGAGGCATCATCTTGTAGAAACAATCCTGAAATAGGGTGATTGGATGTATGAGATCTGCTTCCAGATCATCTTGAGGAGACGGGGAACAAGAAGTATAAATAACTCATTTCAGATGTTGATGGTTTATACCCTACCCTGGGGTGGGGGTGTATTTTTGGTTGTCATAACCAGAAAGGGCAGGGGGCGTGTTCTGCAACCATCCAGGCTGGGCAGATTCACTGTTGATTCAGGCAAAGAGAAAGAATCTTGGAGCCTTAGTTCTATCTGACATGCCTTTAATGCTGGAGTTGGGAACTGGGTAAACAGCCTGCAGCAACCGAGCCTCCTAGCCCCCTCAAACTCCCCGATGCCAGCC